AGGTGACATCTAGGTGACTCTAGGTGGCCCAGCCTGCCCCTTTGCAGGCTGCTACTGCATCAAGGCGTCCAGGTCTTTCCTGCGCTATGTCCTCTGGGAGCCCGCCAGCCGAATGGGTTGTTTACCCTTCTCTCACTCTCCCCATCGCCTCACTCCTCCTCCACTCCTCCCACCCCTCCTCCCACCGCCATCCCTCCAGGCTGCTACTGGATCAAGGCCTCCCGTTCCTTCCTGCGCTGCACCCCATGGGACCCCGCCAGCCCAGTGGGCTGCCTTGCTTCCTTGCTCCCTTCCCCACCACCCCACCCCCACCCCACCCCACCCCACCCCCACCCCCCACCCCACCCCCACCCCACCCCACCCCACCCCCACCCCACCCCCACCCCCACCCCACATCCTCCCCCCCCGCCCTATACTCCCCCTCCCCCAGGCTGCTACTGGATCAAGGCTTCTAGATCTTTCCTGGGCTCCGTTCTCTGGGGGCCCGCCAGCTGAGTCAAGTGTGCCCTTGTCTGCTGCCAACTGTCAGCATGCCGGCCACCACTGCGCCCTTGTCTGCTGCCCTGCCCATCCTCTCTGCCCTCTGCTTCTTCATCTTCCCTCACCTTCGTCCTTCCCTGCCCCCAACCCCCCCCTCCCTCCCCCCCTCCCACCCACGCACACGCTGCTGGCTGCTACTGCATCAAGCTTCTAGGTCTTTCCTGCGCTACGTCCTCTGGGAGCCCGCCACCTGAATCAAGTGTGCCCTTGTTTGTCCATCTTCCCCTTTCCTTCCCCCCCCACCTTCTCCCCCTCCTCCCCCACTCCACACCCCTCCAGGCTGCAACTGGATCAAGGCTTCTAGGTCTTTCCTGCGCTACGTCCTATGGGAGCCCGCCAGCTGGCCGCGCCGCATCCTCATGTACATGGCTGACGTCATCGACTCGGACGAGCATTATTTCAGCACCGTGGCGTGCCAGGCGGGGCGGTTCAACCGCACCCTTGTGAACAGCAGCCTGCATTTCGCAAAATTTGCCAAAGGGAGCCCGGTAAGCCAGTCAGTCGCTTGGCATGTGTAAGGCGTTCGCATCCTCACGTCCGTTTCCGATCGGACGATCACGACTTCAGCACCGTGGCGTGCCAGTCGGGGCGGTTCAACCACACTCTTCTCAATAGCAGCCTGCACTTTGCCAAGTTTGCCAAGGGAAGCCCGGTAAGACAGGGGGCAGGGGGCAGGGGCAGGGGGCAGGGGCAGGGGGCTGGGGGGAGGGGGGGAGGGGGGAGGGGGCAGTTGCAGGAGTGGAGGGGGCAGAGCCCTGACGTCATCGACTCGGACGAGCACGACTTCAGCACCGTGGCCTTCCAGTCCGAGCGGTTCAACCACACTCTTCTCAACAGCAGCCTCCATTTCGCGAGATTCGCCAAGGGCAGCCCGGTACGTGCCAGCCGGGCCAGCCAGTGTGGTAGTAGTGGCGTGCCAATCCGGGCGGACTGGTCCACCACACTCGCCTCAATAACAGCCTTCACTTCGCGGGTAGCCAGTAGAGCAATTGCTTCGACTGGGACGAGCGCCGCTTTAGCACTGCTCTATTGAGGCGCCTCAAAACGAGGTGATTTTTGAGGCGCCTCAAAAACAGCCAACAGAGCAATCGCTTCGACTGGGACGAGCACCGCTTTAGCAGTGCTTGAGCACAGTGGTATGTTAGTCGGGGCGAGTCTAAAAATCCCCGTGCCCCCCTTCTTGCCTCCCCTCCCTGTTCCACCCCCCTGTGCCCCCCTGTGCCCCCTGTGCCCCCTGTGCCCCCTGTGCCCCCTGTGCCCCCTGTGCCCCGTGTGCCCCCGTGTGCCCCCCTGTGCCCCCTGTGCCCCCGTGTCCTCCCTGTTCCTCCCCTTGTGCCACCCTGTCTGTCCCCCCTGTACCCCCCTCCCCTGTCCCCCCTGTACCCCCTACCCTGTCGTGAAATCAGAAGTGTGAGACGTGTGAAACACGTGTGTATTTTTTAGTGGCCTGCGAGCGAGGGATCAAATCTTACTACCAAGGGTGTGACGAGACTTGCGACAGTGCACAAACTCTGGGATGTCGCCCGGCGCTCTCCAGTCACATCCGGGTTGGCGGTTCTATTGCAAATTACTAGAAAACGCCCTGTGGAGAGACCATGAGCCTGAGCAGGGCTGAGGGACATGACCCTGGCTTTAATCCCCTGAGGTTATGTTCCCAATTATGTTCCCCCTGTCCCTCTCCCCCTCCGCACCCCCTCCCCTCCCCCTCCCCCCTCCCTCCCGCTTTCAAATCCAGCATTCCCGCGAGATGAGTCTTCCCCCTCCTCCTACGATGCCTTCATCAACCCTGCTGCCGTCTTCCTCTGCTAAAGCGTGTGCCTATGCTCCCTCCCTTCCCTCACCAGTACTGGGGAAATCTTCCTCTGCTGAGTGTATATGCCCACTTCTGTCTTCAATGTCCCTCTGCCCCTTCTTTCATTCCAAATCCAGCACTCCCTTGAGATGATCGACTCGTACTACGATGCCTTCACCAGTAAGTGCTTCCTCTGCTGAGTGCATTTGCCCTCTGTTCCTCCTACCCCCCTGCCCCCCCTGCCCCCTCTCCCCCCTTCCCCCCAAAATCAGCACTCCCTTGAGATGAACGACTCGTACTACGATGCCTTCACTAATGCTGCCGGTGTCTTCCTCTTTGCCAGGAAGTTTCCTCGCGACTCCCCCACTCTCGACCGCATTGACAGGTGGGTTCAAGTCAACCATATTTTTGACTTACTATACTAGACTAGGTGACTTTTGAGTCGACCCAAAAGTCACTCTTGACCGCATTGACAGGTAAGCTCAAGTCAACCATATTCTTGACTTACTATACTAGGCTAAGTCCTCACCCAAAGTCAACTGAGTCGCTCCCTTGCAAACAAAGGCAAAGTTTGCACCTCAAGTCAATTTTGCTAAATCTTGATCTTATATGCCAAGTCAACCAGCCCAATAGTCTTCCAAGAATGGCTATGCTTTTGTACGTCTTCAAGTCAAGCCAAACTGGTCAGTACTACTCAAGCGAGACCTGTGTATAGTTAGCAGATTTCTTTTTCTCGAGTCATTTTTATTTTACAAGTCAAGAGCACTTTTGTATGTTCAAGTGAAGCTATCAGCATTTCCTGCTCCCTTAATTCGATTTTTTGGACGCCTAAAAACTACCAGGGAGCTAGGCCATCACACAAGCGCTTGCTACATGCTCCTCTCCTCCCCTCCAGTTTTGAGGCGCCTCAAAAATCATCTTTTGATGCAACGCCCTCTACTCCCCTCCTCGTCCCTCCCAGGGAGCTATGCAGTGGCGGCCTGACAGCATCGCCCCCGGAACTTGGCCTCTCGCACCCTCCTCCATCCCTCCTTCCACATTCTCCCTTTTCCTTCTCCTCCCACCGCATTACTGCAGGGAGCTGCTGCAGCGGCAGCAAGGCAGCACCACACCTGGCGCTTGGTGCTCTCTCCCTGCCTCCACCACCGCTTCATCCACATCTTCCCTTCGTTTTGTGCTCGCAATCTCCCTTGTCTGTTCTCCACCCTTATTCGCAGAGAGCTACTGCGCCGGCAGCCAGACTGCATTGCACCCGGCGCCTGGTGCTCCCTCCCACCCTCCACCACCTTTCCTTTCCTACCCACCCTTTTTTTTTTTTTTTTTTTTTTTTTTTCCCACCCTTGCACACATGCTCCCTTGCTCCTGCCCTCACTCGCAGGGAGCTGCTGCACCGGCAGCCAGACCGCATCACACCCGGCGCTTGGTGCTCCCTCCCACCCTCCAACACCACCACTCTTTCTGATTTCAGTTCCTTAGACGCTAGTGATGCCAGCACCAGCAGCACCACCAGCAGCACACCAGCAGCACCACCAGCAGCAGCACCAGCAGCAGCGGCAGCGGCAGCAGTGGCGGTGTTATTGGGTGGTTGCAGCGGTTACTATCCCCCGCACCATGCAACTCTCGCAGGCAGAACTCGATCATTCCCCCACCCTCCATCACTCGCACAGTCATACCACCTGGTGCCGGCGGTGTCACCATTGACAATGCCAATAATGGAGGTGATAATAACGGAGTTGGAGCTGGCTGCCCGTCTACAGTAGACACTGTGTTAGTAGCATCCTTGAGACAAGCACCAAGCGAGAGGGTTAAAGCCATGCTGCCTCGGTTTCTCGAGTTGCTGGACACGAGCAGCTCGTGCGGAGTGCCTGAGGGGGATCGCAGAATGGCTATGGAAGAGGAGTGGAAGGACGGAGATGTGCCAAACATAGAGAAGTATCAAATCTGAAGGAGAGGATCATATCTTCAGTGAATGGCGGTTTCTGGAGGTACTTGCTCGAGTGTACAAGCAACTAAAGCCGAGTGGCAGACGGGGACCGCAGGATGGCTATGGAAGGAGAGTGGAAGGATGGGATGGGTGGGTGGTGATGTTCCAAGTTTAGAGAAGTACCGGTATCAGACCTAGACTGGCTCGATCGAGACACAAGCAAACCCTTCCAACTGCCTGGGGGGAGATGGCTGCTAGGGTAATGAAAGGGAGTGGAAGGATGAAGATCGGGAAAGAAGTGTAAGTTTTGTAAGCTACATATGGTTTGTCAAGAATCTACTTGTTCCTACAATGTAAGATATAAATGGTAATAAAATTAAGGTCTGGATGGGCTACGATTCTCGCGTGAGGCGCCAATAGAATAACAGAAAGTAGCCTTGATAAGATTTGCATTTTGATATTTATGCTAGAATATAAGAACAGCCAAATGGCATTTTAAATAGGCTACTGTACCGAGGCAAGCAACAAACGAACCACGCGATTGCGGCGATGGAGTTGCCTTCTGGAGCAAAACCGCGCTCAACTGGCTGACACTTTGAACAGACTGCCAGAACATCAATTGGCAGACGGCAGCAGGAATAGGCTGCCGGAACGTCAATTGGCAGACGGCGGCAGGAATTAGACTGCCGGAACGTCAATTGGCAGACGGCGGCAGGAATAGACTGCCGGAACGTCAATTGGCAGACGGCGGCAGGAATAGACTGCCGGAACGTCAACCGGCTGACGGCTGGAATAGACTGCCGAAGCCCTGCGTGTAATTCGGCGAAGCAGCTTCGTCGCCTATGTCTTTAGCAGTAGCGTCTCGGACCGCGTGCTTCGTTCCGTCCTCCCAACCTGGCACACGACCACTCCCCGCGACTCGCGCTTGCTTCGGCAATGTTGGCACTAGGGCGGAGATCGACCCACTAAATCGCAGGGACGCGCTTAAAGCGCAGAGGGACCCCTTTAATCGCAGGGACGCGTCAAAGGCGGACGCGTTAAAGGCACAGAGGGACCCCTTCAATCGTATCGTTAGTTTAGAGGAGAACCCGGCTCTCAACAGTAGCAGTGATGACGTCAGAATTGATGTCAGAAATGACGTCCGAGATGGCGTCCGTGATGACGTCAAAGATGACGACGACGGTGGGATCTCGCTGGATCCGCTGCGCGATCTAAGGCCGACGTTGATTGGCTCAACGTGGCAGCGGGAATCGTGGCGGCGGAAGAAGCGGCCGGTGAAGACGCCGTGCCGCCGGAGAAGGCGCGTCCGTCGCTGGTTGAGGAAATGATTTCGGCTTGGAAGAACGAGCGGAGAAGGCGGCGGGAGGGGAACTGGATCGTTGACACTCCGGTGAGTCACGTCACAGGAGGTGGTCGGTGCATTGCTCAGGCCGGCCGGTGAAGGCGCCGTGCCCGCCGGAGAAGGCGCGTGCGTCGCTGGTTGAGGAGATGATGTCTGCTTGGAAGAGCGTCTGCTTGGATGATGTCTGCTTGGAGGAGATGGTAATGGCGTGGCGGAACGAGAAGAGGCGGAAGAACGGCAGCTGGAGTGTCAACACGCCGGTAAGTCACAGGAGTTGGGTCGGGTCCGGTCCGGTATATGGTGCTAAAAGCGGCCAGAGAAGGCGCGTGCGTCGCTGCCTGACGAGATGCTTGCAGCGTGGCGGAATGAGCCAGGTGTTGACGAGTGGCTCATTCCCCCAGACGGCAGGATAAGCCAGTAGACAAGTGACAGCGGGGGGAGGTGAACTAGACCGTTGACACTCTGGTGAGTTGAGTCGAGAATACGAGGTAGGTGGGATGTTAGGTGGGTTGTTGGACAAATGGGATGCGCCAGAGCCTTTGACATCTTCCAGTGAGCGCAGCGCCAGTAGACAAGGAAGATGTCCAAGGATCTGCTTAGGTGAGTTGTTGGACGGATGGGATGCGCCAGAAAAGGCGTGCCCGTCGCTGGTTGAATCTAACTTTGCGAGTCGAGAATTCGAGCTAGGTGGGGTGTTGGATGGGAAGTGCAGGAGAAGGCGCGTCTGTCGCTGGTTGAAGAGATGGCGGAACGAGAAGAGACGGAAAGGAGGCAGCTGGATTGTCAACACTCTGGCTTCGGGTGCACCTCGGATGGATGGAGGGAGCAGTATGCTGGATGGAGGGAGCAGTATGCTGGATGAGGGAGGGGAGCAGTATGCTGGATGGAGGGAGCAGTATGCTGGATGGAGGGAGCAGTATGCTGGATGGAGGGAGCAGTATGCTGGATGGAGGGAGCAGTATGCTGGATGGAGGGAGCAGTATGCTGGATGGAGGGAGCAGTATGCTGGATGGAGGGAGCACCCCCCCCTGGGTTCCATGTCTTTACATGGCACCCACGCCCATCTTCCTTCTCCCCTCCCCACTTCCCCCCTCCTTTTCCCCTCCCCACTTCCCCTCTCCTCTTCCCTTCCCCTCTTCCCCACTTCCTCTCTTCATGCTTCTGCCCTTCCAACCCCCCTTTCCTCTCTGTGCCATTCACCATTCCTCCTCTCCCCCTTTTCCCCTCTCCCCCTTTTCCCGTTTCCCCATTCCCCCTCTCCCCATTCCCCCTCTCCCCATTCCCCCTCTCCCCATTCTCCCTCTCCCCATTCCCCCTCTCCCCATTCCCCTCTCCCCATTCTCCCGCTCCTCATTCCCCCTCTCCTCATTCCCCCTCTCCTCATTCCTCCTCTCTCCCCCCATGTGTTTTGAGTCTGTTCACTGTTTTCGTGGCCCCCAGGCAAGTTCACGGATGCTCAAGCCCAACCACATTCCGTGTGCTCTTTGAGTCGACTCACAATGCACCCGCATTCCGTGTGGCCTCTTTTTCCTCCCCACTAAGCAGTAGTCGCTGCCACGGGAAGCCACAGCACCCAAGTGGTGTTCTATAAGTTGATGGATACTCGACCCCTTCCGCATTCCGTGTGCTCTTTGAGTCACCTCACAATGTACCCCGCATTCCGTGTGCCCTCTTTTTCCTCCTCTCTACCCTATCCCCCCCATTGCCCCTTCCCCCCCCCTCCCCCTCCCCCTCCCCCTCCCCTCCCCAGCGCGCCATCCCCACTTCCTCCCGCCCGGATCCCCCCTGCCCTGACTGCAGGGGGAGCGGGCGAGTGGAGTGCACCAGATGCTGCGGCCGAGGTTAGTGGGGGGAGGTTGGGGGGGGGGTCTTTTGAGGCATGCTAAAGCGGGCTAGCATGGGAAAAGGGGAGAGGGGAATTGTTGCAGGGGGAGCGGGCGAGTGGAGTGCAACAGACGCTGCGGCCGAGGTGAGTGGGGGGAGGGGGGAAGGCAGTCTGAGAATTGCAGAATTTGCGCTTGTGGTGAGGGCGAGTGGAGTGCAGCAGGTGCTGCAGACGAGGTGAGGGGGAAGGGGGGTTGGGGGGGACAGGTGGGCATGGAGTGATGTTGGAGAGTGCTGGGGGAGGGGGGAGTGCTGGGGGAGGGCGGAGTGCTGGGGGAGGGGAGAGTGCTGGGGGTTGGGCGAGTGCTGGAGGAGGGGGGAGAGTTAGAATATTCTACCTTCATTCTATTAGCCTACATCGTTTCATTGTCTTAGGTACTTATACGCACCCCACTAAGGTGTATACACCCAAGTTGGGGGTTGGGTTCCCAACCTTGTTGGGTTCCCAAATTGGTTGGGCTCCCAATTATTGGAACCCCCAAATAATCCCAACCTAGATTATTGGACCCACCAATAATCTTGGCTAGGATTATTGGACCCCCAATAAGTTGGCCAGCCCAACTTATTGGATTGACCAATAATTGTGGTCACCTCCCAACCAAACCCCCCCTCCTACTCCTCATCTATGTATACCCGCTCCTTTCCTAATACAATTAACTACTTTTTCACCTTTTCTCACAGGGAGTGCTGGGATTGGGGGTAGTGCTTGGGGTAGGGAAGAGATGGGAGCAAGTGTAAGTGCTCCAGCTTCAAGAGTAAGTGGAAGTGCTCGGTGCTGGGGTTTGCAAGGGGTCGGGTTTGCAAGGGGTGGGGTTTGCAAGGGGTGGGGTTTGCAGGGGGTGGGGTTTGCAAGAGGTGGGGTTTGCAAGGGGTGGGATGTGCAAGGGGTGGGGTGTGCAAGGGGTGTGCAAGGGGTGTGCAAGGGGTGGGATGTGCAAGGAGTGTGCAAGGGGTGGGATGTTCAAGGGGTGGGGTTTAGATCCAGGGGGATAAAGGAGCAGAGGGAGCAGTCATGACGGTGGGTGCTCAAGGGGAGTGTGTGCGTGTGGGGGGGGTGGGGGGGGGGAGGACAGGGAAGACGGACATGGAATGCGAAAGGTAGGGCTCTTTTTCCCTCCTGCTTATCTGTGTGCTATTTGCGCGCGTTTTACATCTCAGAACATTTTTCTTTGCTTTTAAATTGTTGTTAAAGCGAGGGTCTCAAGAAGCAGAAAACCAAATCCAAAGGTTTTGGTTTTGGGTTGACGAACTTTGCAAAACAGTTACAGCGCCCAACCAGCACCCCTTACCACACCTCGCAATTTCCGAGACCCCCCGAAACCAAAACCTTTGGGTTTGTTTTTTTCCTTCTTGAGACCCTCGCTTTAAAGCGTGAAAAAATTATGGTGTGTCCTCCTGAAAGAATTTGGTTTCCGGGCTGCACCAACCTTGCTCCTCGTCGTCTGGTGTCTCATCCTGTGCCTCCTGCCTCCTCCCATCCCCCCCATCCTGTGGCTTTCCTCCTCTCCCCTTGCTCATTGTCCTCCCATCTCTCCAGGCCGCACCAACCACATTGACCTGGTTATGCTCCCTACTGGCTCCTGGCCCCGATGGTATGCTGCCCCTACTCTCTCTCCTCCCCCACCTCACGTGTCCACTGACTTACCCTGTAGCTTTTCTCCCCTCTTCTTGCCAGGATGGTATGCTGCCCCCACTCTCTCTCCCCCCTCCCCCAAAATTATGTTCTCAGTTGTCTTATTTTCTCTGCTTACCCACCCACTTACCCACTGCATCTGGTTTGTCCGCAGGAATTGCTTCTGGTTGCTGTACTGTTTCTCTTCTCCCCCTCCTCTCTTCCCACTTCTCCCATCCCCCCCCTCACCTGCTGGTTTTGCTGGGATTTCAACATTATAGTCCCCCCCCCGCTTCCTCCCACCCCAACCCCCTCCGCCTCGTCGTCCTCCCCCTCACCGCCCTCCCCCACACCCACCTCTTTCCTTCCAGGTGTTGGTTCTGCAGGGGCAGCGGTCGCTGCTACTGCGCCCGCTGCCTTGGCACCGGGCAGAAACGAGGGATAATTGGATTTCACTGAATTTATTGCATTTGAGGCGCCTTGTTTTGAGGCGTCTCAAGCAGTCTTGGCATGGGGCTCCTCATCTTGAGGTGTGTGATTTGCTGGCACCATACAATGAGCCAGCAGGATGAAAGTGGTGCTGTGTCATGCAGAAGAGAAGGATCGGTCAATGCCTAGTTCAAGGTGGTCTCAACACTCATGTAGGTTAGTTGCTGTAGCCTGTACTGTACAAATGTAATTTTTTGAAAGCGTGTAACGCTGTCTAAAAAATGTGTGTTGTGAAAATGTAGTGAGGGCCAATGCAGCAAAGGTAGCGTCAAAGCGCTACTCACCCTCTTTTGCCTTCATTTCTAGTTCCTCTACCGTAAAAGCCTGGATAAAAGACCCCTATGTCTTATCATATACCTAGGTGAAAAACTGGAAAGCTGCTTATAAATGGAACAAAATTAGGGGGGGGGTGTTTCTTATAAATGGAAAACTGTCTTATAAAAGGAACTGTTGTGGTGATTTAAAAGTGCAGCGAGGGTGTAGTGCTCGGGCTCAGCTGCTGTTATGGGGAAATGTGGATGTGGAGTGTCGGGGGGCTCGACACCTGTTGGAAATATCTCAAAGAACTTAAGCGTTTCTGAAGTGTAACACTACACTCGAGGAAGACTACAAGGGAGCACGCGAGTCAACGGAGGTTACACGAGGGGGCGGACAAAGAATGCAAAAGACCCGAAAGGTCGCAACTGGAGGTTGCGACTGACCGTTACAGCATCACGGATGGTAACCGAAGCGGCAATCGAGTCGCTATGCGACTCGATAAACCGTTCCTGTAACTGTACTCTGCAACTGCTTTCTTATCTTCTATATATTGCTATATGCTTGTTTCTTTAATCAATCACTTGTTCTCATATACTAGTACAAGGGTTCAACTGCCTCAACTTCCGCTGCACTACTCCAAGTCTCAAGTCTCCACAGCTGGAACTTAGTCTCTGCAAAAGATCCTAAGGGCTTTTCTCAGCCCAACATGGTATGAGAGCTGGTCAGAGACCAAACTCCCAGCAACTACACTCCATCAACAACCAGCAACTCAACTTGATTCAACAACTCCATTGATTACAAGACATGGACAACAAGGGCAAGAAAGTCTCTACGGGCTCACCCAGCGCCCAAGAAACTCAACACGGCAACTCTGGTCTGCACACCTCAGGACTGCAGACAGAGAGCGGGACTGCTCAAGAAACAACGGGAAGAGTACCAGAGATGGTGACTCCGTCTCCCTCTTCAAGTGTGGACCCGAATCTCATGGAGAGATTCTTCAGCTTCATGTCACACTTCGACCAGCAGCAGCAGACAAGGACACCTGCGCAATCAACACAGAGCAATGGAGGGAATATGGGATTAGCACCGATGAGCCTCGACAACTCATCCTTCGGGCGACACAACCAAGCGCCTACCTTTGCGCCTTATCATTCTTCGCCGGGGACGTTCGAATTCATGCAGCAGAGCATCAGAACGTATCGGAGTTATGGAAACTCCGCGGAGCTCGCATGGCACCACCTCAAGTGCCTTTACCAAGCAAACGACAGCGTGACACAAAGCAGACTCATGCAACAGCTGACAACAATACAGATATAGACCGGGGAAAAAGCGATGCAGTATATGAGTCGCTGCCAGACCCTCCGCGACCGCCTGCTTCGGTGCGGAGGAACGATCACTGAAGAAAGCTTCGTGACACTTGTCCTCGCCGGGCTCGGGCCAGAATGGAGAACCACACGATCACTTCTTCGAGCCCACGGAAGAATTTCGGAGATGCACCTCTGCGCCGAGCTTCACGCTGAACAACAGGAGATGGATGTGTTCGAGGAAAGACAACCAAGGAAGCAACAGCAGTTAGTCTTCTACACTCAAAGAAGAAATGACAATAACTACAACCGACGCAGCAAGCAAGATCAACGCGACAACCGAGGACTCACCATCGTACCGCCGTTCTGCCACAACTGCCAGACTTCCGGGCACTCCAAAGTCAACTGCAACCGCCCTCGCGTTTACCGTGCAGCAGACCCACAAGTCGCTTACACTCAAGCAAGTCCTCCAAGGCGCTCTTCAACATCTGCACAACAAACACCCAACATCATCAACTGCATGGTACACATCGACAACTGCGCACCCGCTTCACCACCCACTTACGCACCAGACGAAGAGGAATTCCCGCCGCCGCGCTCGCAAGGACTTCAGGTCAACCCGACATACGCTGCAGTCGCCAACGCCGAACCCACCGGGCGAAACACCTGGTTCTTGGACAGCTGCTGCGGTCAACACATGTGCTCCTCGGGACGCTTCGTGCAACAGGAGAAACGACTCAACCGCGACGTCGTCATCACAGTCGCCAACAACGAAAACCTGAAGACAAACAGACAAGGCGTGGTTCAGTTACAATCCATGGAAACAAACGTAATACTGCAGCTCAACAAAGTGCTCATTGTCGACAACCTGGGATACAATCTACTAAGCGTAAGTCAACTAATGGCCAAAGGGATTCACCTGGAGTGCGACTCTTACTCCAACGAGTTCCGGCTTTACCACGGGAAGGGCGGCCTCTTCATCGGTCGTGCCCTCCTGAAGTCCGGTGTCTTCGTGTTGGACTTCGTCCCCGACCGCGGAACTGCCGACAGCGATGGCATCGTATCGTTCGCCGCCTGGACTCACCCGCCGGATCTTGATCCCGACTTCGACAGTGACGGCTTCTGGCACTCCAACACCATACCTGCAGCAGAGAGAACACGAGCATTAGCAGTTATCAGACAAGAAAGACAAGTACCCGCAAGTGTCCCAACAAAACCATCACCTGCAGTATCGGCAGCAGGACCCAGCCGAGTACCACCACCATCAACACAAGGACCGCCAACGGAAGCAGACCAACTTATGCCCGCCACACGAGAAGCTTGTCGAAGTCCCGCCTCAGTCGTCGCGTTCTTCTCCAACGCCGACATCTACCACCGCTCGCCCGGTCACCGTGCTCCCGACGACATCTGGCACCAACGCCTCGGACACCCTGCAAACAGCACAATACTTCAAACAATCCAAGCAGAGGTGTTAGAACGCAACGCCCTTCTGACGACGAGCGGTCAAGAACTTCGACGACCACGCGCACGGTGCTTCACATGCCCCGAAGCAGATCTTCCTCATCAACCTTTTCCATCCCATCACAACCCAAGCGCACCTACTTACGCTCCGATGGAAAAAGTCTACAGCGATATTTTAAACATGCCTCGAGACGACGCCGAAGCCGACTTTAACTACGTCATCACTTTCATCGACGCCGCAACCAGATATGTCTGGCACTTCAATCTCAAAACGCGCGACCAAGCCTTCGAAGCCTTCACAACATGGCTCCCCATCGCCGAACGAGAATCAGGACTCAAACTCAAGAGCTTCCAGTCAGACGGTGCACTGGAATACCAGTCACAACGCTTCAGGACCTATCTGGCGGAAAGGGGAATCAGACGCCTGGTGTCCCTGCCCTATGCTCACCAACAGCAGGGGGTAGCAGAACGCATGAATCGGACCTTGCAGACGACGATGCGAAAACTTCTTCAGGGGATGCGACTGCCAACCACACTGTGGCCAGACGCGATGACACATGCTGTTCACCTGCACAACCTGCTGTCCTCGTCATCACTTCCCAACAACGCATCACCGCACCTGTTGTGGACAAGGAAAAGGGGCAGCACAAAATTACTCAGAGTCTTTGGCTGCATGGTACAGTACAGACCCCACACAGCCCGAGCAGGACGCTTCACACAACGAGCTCGGTGGGGACTCCACCTCGGCATCGCGAAACATTTTCACGCGTGGAAAATTCTCGACATACAAGACAAAAACACGGTGGCATCACGAGACGTTATCTTCTACGAACGACTGACTCTGCAGCATTACCTGGACAACCTTGCCAACACACAAGACCCCACCGACGGCCTCTCGGGACTTCGTTCCTTCGCCGATCGTGCTGCCGAAGCTGACGCAGCAGAAGAAGACGTACCTGGAGCCTCGGAAGCTGCCGGGCCACTCCCATTCTGTTCCGTACCTGTTCCACTCGATGAAGATAATCCCCTCGATAGCAACAACCTCGACACCTTTTACCACTTCGCCGACCAAGGTTACGCTACACCTCAACCCGTCGACACGAATATTTCGGAACGCATCGGCCCCAATTTCTTACCTGACCCCGAAGACGGTGACGAAGCAGCTTATTCCGGGAATGACAATTCCCCTCGACACACACCCACGGGACTCCAGATTCTAGGCCTCTGGGTCTCCGTTCAGCATCCGCCGCCGCCTTCTACGCGTGAGCCTTCAACCTTGTCGCAGGCTCTGGGGGGGGAACATAAGGCAAAATGGAAAGAAGCGATGGAAAAGGAGTTAAAAGCTCTGCAAGACCGAGAAACATGGAAACTGGTACCTGCAACGAGCATCAACGGGAAGAACGTTCTCTCGGGGAAATGGGTGTACCGCATCAAGACCAACTCAGACGGCTCCATCGAACGATTCAAAGCTCGATGGGTCGTACGAGGCTTCGATCAACGATACGGAACCGACTACACAGAAACCTTCGCTCCAGTCTCCCGTCACACCTCATTACGCATCCTACTCGCCGTCGCGGCCACAAAAACACTACCACTACGCCAAATCGATGTCGCGAATGCGTTCCTATACGCACCTGTGGACGCTGAGATATTCGTCGAACAACCCCACGGATTCATCGACGACCCCACGAAAATATGCCGACTGACAAAATCCCTATACGGGATCAAGCAAGCCCCGCGGCTCTGGCAGCAGCATCTTCACAGCCGTCTCGTAAAAATCGGCTTCCTACAGCTGCCGCATGACCAAGGGATGTACCGACTGCAGAAGGGAAGAGAGTATGTTCTGCTCATCGTCTACGTCGACGACCTGCTCTACATCGGCTCCACTACCGACATCGCCACCTGGTTCGAAGGGGAGCTGAAAGAAGATTTAACTCTCACGGTGTCCGACGAAGTTACGCAGTACCTAGGACTGAACGTCGTCGAAGACGACACGGCGTTCTACCTACACGCTGGAAAGTACTCAAGCACCGTCGCGAAGAAATTCGGTCTAACACCGACTGCGGTCCCAACTCCCTACCGCTACGGGAACAACAGCAGCGCCTCTACAAAACTCCCCGCGAAACAAATCCAGGAGTATCAACAGAAGCTCGGCTGCCTACTATTCGCATCAGTAACCTGCCGACCCGACCTATCCTATAGTGCGAGTCAGTTGGCGACACATCTGAAGCAGCCGAAACAGGAAGATCTCGAG